TATATATATATATATTAATATTTTAATATACATATCACTACAGACATAAAATATATCTTATTTGTATATAATTTTTTTACAAAATTAAAAAAATGTTGAAATGGAAATAAACAAAAGTAAATGTACATATTTATTTACATTTATATAAGTATTATAATAAATAATAAATACAAATAAATAATGATATTTGAAAAATATACATTTCATTACAGACACAAAATATATTTTCTTTGTGTTAAATTTTGTGTTTTACAGAATTAAAAATGTAATTAAAGAATAATAATAATAATAATAATACATTTTATATGAATAATGTAAATAATATAATTATTATGTTGAATAAATATTACATAGAAATAAATAATGATATTATAGTGGATATATAATATAGATGAAGTTGCTAGGGTGTTCTGGATGGTTGCCAGGTGATTTCTTCCTGTCTGGTGTGAAAAGGGTCCTGCAGTGTCACATCTAATCTTAGTTATTTTGGACATGATGCCACCTGTAAAAGCATGGCATTCATTAAAGTGTTTTAGAGTATCTGTGTGTCTGAATGTCTCTCGACCCCCCACCTGACGTCCCTGTGTTTAATGCATGACTCTGGGGCCCCCGGGGGCCAGGCTAAAAGTCAGGGCCCAGCGTGAGAGCTTTAGTAAACGAGCGTGTAAACAGAGCGTTACCTTCTGACCCGCTGCTCATGACTCGGGGCTGAGGACAAAACCCGGCGGCTAGTGCATTAGACACGCCTGTTACTGAGATAAAGCTGCCCTCGCTCGCCCACCCGCACACACAGAGAGAGAGAGAGAGAGACGCTCAAACTGCTCTCATTTCACACTCACTTTATGCACAGTGCTGTGTCTCTCCTTCTCTCTCTCTCTCTGTCTGAGCTGTTGTTGTTTTTTTAACCCTTTGGTGCTCTTCGGTCATTTTTGCATTTAGTTGTGTTTTTTTATCATAATTTATCTTATAATAATGGACATGATTTGAAAGGTTCTGAAAAAAATAGCCACACTTGTGTTGCTCATGTTCAAAAATGATTGCATTGGAAGCGAATGGGAAGCGAATTTCATCTAGTGGAAGCGTTTGGTACTGCAGCCAAACAAAATCTGACTTTTTTGATATCAACCTCAAATTCGGAACACAACTTGTTTTAGATTTATGGCTTTGATTTTTAGAGTAAAACATGTTTCGGAAAATATATATTTCATTTAAAAAATATATATATATTTTAATTTTTGGAAACATTTTTCATAATATTTTTTTTTTTCACTTTTTAAATTTTTTCCACTTCAGCAACAACCTGCAAATATCTAAAGTGTTTTCTTTAAAGAGACCAAACTTAAATCAGCGCTCAAAAAGTGGTTAAAAGTTAATAAACAGATCATAACTATTCCATAAATTTCATTTAGTAAAATAATATCCCCTAAAAATACAATTCTCTAACTAAAATATAGTGCATTAATTTAATTGAAATAATAATAATTTTTAAAAATCTGTCATTTTTGACTGCCACTCATATATATATATATATGTGTGTGTGTGTGTGTGTGTGTGTGTATATGTCTGAATGTATGTAGTGTGTATAAACACACAATAATTGATTAGAAAGGAATTTAATTAATAAATTAATATTTATATTTATATGAAGTAATGATAAATATTATAGATATATATATATAAACAAAAACAAAAATTTTTTTGGCTGTGAGCCGCACAGAGATGCTGTAGGTTTGCAGGAACCGAAGGCATCAGATCTATTGATCATCATCAGTGTATGTGTCTCCCGTCAGTCTGTAGCTGGTTTGAGCTCATGTCGAGTGAGTTTGAGTTCCAGGGAAGCGTCAGAGATGATAAAGTGTGTTTTATGAGCGCGGAGAGGCTTCTCTTTTACGGGGCCATAAATACATTGTTATTAGGTGTTGGGAGTGAGCTGAGATTTATCCTAACGATTAGCCGGCCCAGCATCCTCCTTCCATTAATCCACACTCACACACACACACACACACTCACACACAAACACACACAC